TGGCTCCCAACAGCTCGTTACAGAGGCTGGTAATGTCTCTGGGCGGCCTTTGTGGCTATGCGGGGCTCACGCCCAGCCTTGAAAGGAACAGGGTCCTGGCCTTCGGTGACTTCCAAAGCCCCGGGCTGGAGTGAAGGTGGGGGGTGCAAGAGGGTAGAGCAGGCGAGCTGCCTGGAGAGAGGGTCCCTGGGCCCCGCCTCCAGTCTCATTGCAGTTTCCCAGCTCAGAGGACATGAGCACAGAGCGAGCGTGCTCCCAGGAACCCAGCAGCAGGGAAGGTAGGGAAAGGGGAGACTCACCTCCACGCATGGTGAGCTTGCTGGCCACTGCCCGCCTGCACCCCGCTTCAGAAGGGTCCACAGTGCCCCTGACCAGCTGGCCGTGGGGTGTGCCGAGACCCCGCCTCCTCTTAGGAGGTGAGAGAGAAAGAGGGGCACCCTACGGAGTAAGGAGGAGAGAAGCCTGCAATGGGGAGAGCTGGAGTGGGGTACCCCAAAAAGACAAGAGGAAGCTGTCTTCAAATGGCAGCATTCTGCGCAGGGAGGTTCTCCCTGAGTTGTCTCTGACCCCAAAAGGGAGAATGAAGCCCCCGGTGCAGAAGATTCTAGAAGGCGAGCCTGGCTGCGCTGTGAGAACCGTGCTTCCTGCAGCCGTCGGGACGGTCCCAGTGCAGGAAGCATCTGTGTGTGACGACTTGGGGCCGATGCTGTTGAGGAACGGAAGCCTCGGGTGGGGCCACTCCGCTGTCTCTGGGGCCTCTTCCCCCGTGGGGTCCAGGAGTCCTCAGTTCCAGGCTAGGCCTGACCACGGAGCCCTGCGCCCACCCACCTGGCCGCGGTGCCCATGGGCAGTGGGGGTGGAAGAAGATGAAGGCAGGTATAAGGTGGGGGAGGGGCAGAAGGCGAGGGGTCAGGGGAGTCTCGGCTTCGGACTTGGGTTGTAAAGGCTTCTTGACAAGAGAAGCAGTGAGCTTGCCCGCGGACGTGAAACTTGGGGGGCAACTGCACCCATCCATTTCCCGCTCCTCATCCCTCCTGCCCCAAAGCCCTCACCCCTGCTAGCTGCCTAGAGAGCACCCAGCTCCATCCGTGTGAGACCTCGAATCACTTCTCATCCCAGGAGGACCAGCCTAGCAAAGCAGCTTACGCTGACCCGAGTGCACCAGCCACTGGCTGCTGAAATCACGCTGCGGAATGGAAGACCCCAGCCCTGCCCCCTGTTGCCAGCGGGTCCTCCTGTCTCCGCCCTGCCCCCTCCAAACACCTGACTCCCGGCCTGCCATCGCGTGGGTCCCTCCATAAGAAACCACCCTCCGGGACCACCCCAGTCTCCTTGCACTGGGAGCCGAGAAAGGCAGCCTTGGCACAGCCAATCTGCCCTGATGCCAAGCCAAAGACAGCAAGCTGGTCCAATCTGTATTTACATAACCAAGGAGAAAAGATTGAGAAATACTTCCGATATCAATCACAGTAAATTATCAGATTTGGGGGATTAAAAGATTGTTCGGCCTTGGACCAGATGGCCCCTGGCCACCTTTCCGAATGGGTGACAAGCTGCATGGTGAGTGACAAGCAGCCAGAGTCCCAGGCTCGCCCTGCGAGCACTGAGCCCGGGCTCCACTCCCTGGCTGAGCTAGTGCCCCACTGGCTGGCCCCTCTGGCTGCTCACGGCCTGTGTGGCCCTGCCCTAGAGTGACACCTGTCCCTTATCTTGTACAGCAGCTGTGTGGTGGCTTTGCAAAGGGCTGACAACCACACAGATTCGTGCTGTGAGTGACCTGAGGTCTTAGCTCCTCCGTGTCTGGCTGTTTCTGCCCGGCGATCTGCACTGGAGTCCATGGCCCTTCTCCTTGGCCCTAGGCTGTTTCTCGCCCCTGGCCTGGCACCCGCTGGCTCGCGGCATGAAGGTCCCTGGGTGCAGGTGTTGGTGAATTCCCAGAACGAGGCCATCAGGACCGACTCTGAGTTCCTGGGAATGGAGCGAAGCTCACAGCCTTGGTCACTGGCTCTGCCCACCCCCACTGCCAGCTTCCAGTGAACAACAGGGGGGAGGGTCAGGCCAGGGACCCGAGGACAGACACAGTCTCCACTTCTGACTCAGGCGGGACTCGCCTGCCGCCGGAGAAGCCCCGGAGCGGCTCTGAGCCCACACACACGGCGCAGGGCCAGGCGGCGGCAGTGCCTGGACACCACGAAGCACAGCCCTCAGGCCACGGGGCGGGAGCCAACTTGCTCGCTGGTGCCTGATGCCCAGCCTCTCGCTGTTAGAAGGAAACGGAAGGTGGGACTGGCACCTGGGACGCCGGCATCCCATATGGGTGCTGCTTCCTGTCCCTGCTGCTCCACTCCAATCCAGCTCCCCATTAATGCAGCAGAAATGGCCCTCATGCTGGGGTCTCTGCCACCCCCTGGGGAGACCTGGAAGAAGCTCCTGGCTCCTGGCTTCAGATCCACGCAGCTCCGCCTGTTGCAGCCAATTGGGGAGTGAACCAGCGGATGGAAGACCTCTCTCTCTCTCTCCCCTTCTTCCCTTCCCTCTCTCTCTCCCTCTCTCTCTTTCCCTCTCTCTCACACACTCTCTCTCTCTCCCTCTCTCTGTAACTCTAACTTTCAAATAAATAAACAAATATTTTAAAAAAAGAAAACAGAAGCTTGTAGCACAGTGAGGGCGAAGACTCCTATGGGTTGGTACTTTTATTTATTTTTAAAATGGATTTATCTGAAAAGTAGCAGGACAGACAGGAAGAGAAAGAGAACCATCTTCCATCTACTGGCTTCACTCCCCAAATGCCCAAAAGAGCCAAAGCCAGGGTCTGTGAACTCAGCCAGGGTCCCCCGCGTACACGGCAGGGACCCAGCGGCTGGAGCCATCGCCTGCTGCCTCCCAGGCTGCACATCAGCAGGAACCCCGGTCAGGAGCCGAGCCAGGCCTCACACCCAGGCACTCTGATCCGGATATGGGCATCCCAAGCGGTGATTTAACTGCTGCCCCGAACATCCACCCCGAGTCAGCACTGCCAGACCACACTGCCGTAGCCACGGACTAGTCCACAGAAAAGAGGAGGAAGAGGAAGAAGAAGAAAAGGAGGGGCCAGTGCTGTGGCTGGTTAAAGCCCTGGCCTGAAGTGCCGGCATCCCATATGGGCGCCAGTTCGAAGCCCGGCCGCTCCACTTCCGATCCAGCTCTCTGCTGTGGCCTGGGAAAGCAGTAGAGGATGGCCCAAGTCCTCGGGCCCCTGCACCCACGTGGGAGACCTGGAAGAAGCTCCTGGCTCCTGGCTTTGGATCGGCGCAGCTCCAGCCAACTGGGGAGTGAGCCATCAGATGGAAGACCTCTCTCTCTCTCTCTCCGCCTCTCTTCTCTCTGTGTAACTCTGACTTTCAAAGTGAAATAAATAAATCTTTAAAAAAAAAAAAAAAAAACTGTCGTGGCCACAGAGAAAGGTGACCTGGAAAGTGGTCCCTGAGGACAGAGGAAAAGCTGGGGACCTCAGGGACTCCTCAGAACAAAGAGGAGGAGGAGGAGGAGGAGGAAGGGGCTGAGGAAGAAGAAGGAGAGAAAACTGCACTAAACGTCTGTTGCTAGGCCGGTGCCGCGGCTCACTAGGCTAATCCTCAGCCTTGTGGCGCCGGCACACCGGGTTCTAGTCCTGGTCGGGGCGCCGGATTCTGTCCCGGTTGCCCCTCTTCCAGGCCAGCTCTCTGCTGTGGCCCGGGAGTGCAGTGGAGGATGGCCCAAGTGCTTGGGCCCTGCACCCCATGGGAGACCAGGAGAAGCACCTGGCTCCTACTTTCGGATCAGCGCGGTGCGCCGGCCGCGGCGGCCATTGGAGGGTGAACCAACGGCAAAGGAAGACCTTTCTCTCTGTCTCTCTCTCTCACTGTCCACGCTGCCTGTCAAAAACAAAAACAAACAAACAAACAAACAAAAAAGTGTGTTGTTGCGCTCACACATCCACCCCAGGCGGTGTCATGATGGTACACGGTTAGGATCCCCCGTCCACAGCAGAGGAAGATTTCACGCCATCTTGCATTTGGGTGCAGCCAACGCCATCCTGAAGAGACACCCCTAACAGACAGGAACGTCTAGGACAAAAAGACAGCGACAAAAACGCACCTGCCTGCGTCTGCACCCGCACCGGAAGTGCGCTGGACGTTTCCTTCTTTGAGGGACGCTTCCGGTTGAAAGGCAACGCGTGGCAGATCAGAATCAACACTCAAAAAAGCAGAATTACAGATGCCAACCTGGGCCTGCAACGCCAGCATCCCCTCACCAAACCTGTGTTCGAGTCCCGGCTACTTCGCTTCTGATCCAACTCCCTGCTAACGCATCAGGGGAAGCAGGGGAGGACAGCCCAAGTGCCGGGGTCCCTGCCACCCACATGAGAGACCCAGCTGGAGCTCCTGGCTCCTGGCTGCAGCCTGGCCCAGCCCCAGTTGCTGCAGCCACCTGGGGAGATCTCTCTTTCTCTCTGATGCTCAGCATTTTAAATAAATATTTTTTAATGGCAATGGCTTTCCCTTTAAAAAAAAATAGGCAAAATCAAAGCAGGCAGCTGAGTGCACACCCAGGGCACACGGGTGTGAGAAGGAGCCAGCGACTGGATCCGCAAACCACCCTGAAGCCAGTCAAGCGCTCTGACCTGAGCCCCTGGTTCACATTCCTCTGGGCAAGTGCCCCTTCCCCTAGCGCCTTGTGGCTGAGATAGGACTATATTAATTTCCTGGCTAGGGAGAGATTAACGGGCGGTGATAGGGCGAGCACTCGGATTTCTCCCTGTGGGATACAGAGAGGGAATTGTTCGTGGTGCAGGGGAAGGGATGTTCCCATAGGCGGGACAGCACAGCCCGGGGCAGCAGCAGGACACACACCCCCCAGAGTGGGCCCAGGGTGAAGTCAGCCCTGAAGGCGGGCGGCTTCATAACTGAGCCACCCTCACCCTTTGACTTTTGGTCCGGCCTGCGCTGAGCTGGCCGCACCTGCTCTCAGCCGCACTCCGGCAACACAGGGGCCGCGGCAGGCGGACTCTGCCTCCAGACACCATGCCCACCGTGGACGACATCCTGGAGCAAGTCGGCCACTTCCACTTCTTCCAGAAACAAACCTTCTTCCTCCTGGCGCTCATCTCCGCAGCCTTCACGCCCATCTACGTGGGCATCGTCTTCCTGGGCTTCACCCCCGACCACCGCTGCCGGAGCCCTGGCGTGGCCGAGCTGAGCCAGCGCTGTGGCTGGAGCCCCGGGGAGGAGCTGAACTACACGGTGCCGGGCCTGGGCGCCGCCGACGGGGCCTTCGTCCGCCAGTGCATGCGCTATGAGGTGGACTGGAACCAGAGCTCCCTGGACTGTGTGGACCCGCTGGCCAGCCTGGCCCCCAACAGGAGCCACCTGCCGCTGGGCCCCTGTCAGCACGGCTGGGTGTATGACACGCCCGGCTCCTCCATCGTCACCGAGGTAAGTGGGCTTGGGCCGCAGCAGAGAAAAGCAAACAATTGAGCTTTTCAAGAAAAATAGTCAGGGAGAGCCTGGCCCTGGTAGCTGTGCCTGGACATGCTCTTTGGACTCGGTGCACCTTGCAAAATCTTACTCCCCAAATGCAAGGAGGAGGCGTCTCGTTTGTCTGGCGTGTGAGTGGGTTAGCAAAGCTTCCTCAAATCTGACGGTGATGGTTCTAGTCTATGCAAGTCTCCGCAGTAAGGAAAACACCAGGCACATCCGTGCTCCTGCAAAGGAGGTGGGAAAGAGAATGCTCCCCTTCCTCCCTCTCTGGAGGCGCCATTCCTCCACCGGGCACAGGGACCTGAAGTCCGCTTTGCTGTGGGATGCAAGCTGCTTTTCCCTCGATGCTTTTCCCCTCTTTCATTTGCTCTAAGTGTCCAAATCAAACCATCTGGGGCTGGAGATTATGCACCAGTACTGTCATTTTATTAAAATACAGTCTCATGGAAATCGAAGTGTGGAGGCCAGCAGCGTGGCACAGTGGGTTAAGCTGCTGCCTGGGATGCCAGCATCCCACGTGAGCTCCAGTTGGAGTTTTGGCTGCACGGCTTCTGACCCAGCTCCCTGCTGATGCGCCTGGGAAAGCAGAGGAAGGTGGCCCAAGCACTGGATGGAGTTCCAGGCTCCTGGCTTCGGTGTGGCCACGCTCAGGCCATTGTGGCCATTTGGGGAGTGAACCAGCAAATGAAAGATCCCTCCCCCCGTCTTTCAAGTAAATAATTTTTTAAAAAGTGTAATCATGAAGCTTTATTTCAATAAGTATGGAGAGAACAGAGAGAGAGAGAGAGAGAGAGGTTATTGGAGCAAGGCAAAACAGAGAAGGGAAATTACTCTGAAAAAAGTTGCCTGGCTTAGTACAAAAGGTCTGCTTGGTTGCCATGGAGACAATCTGTCCAAGCAGACCTGCAGGCGGGCAGGCTGTGAGGGGGCAGATAGCTCCAGGAATTGGGGGGTGGAGGACTCTAAGGGGTTCTACAGGGCGACCCCGCCCAGCCCTCCACACTGAGGCCTGGAGGAGAGCAGAGCTGCGCCCCAGGCCGCGGAGTGGCTGAGCCGAGTTAGCTCCAGAAGCTGCATCTCCGGACCCCCAGGCCGGCGCCCGCTGCACCTGGGCTCCTGCCTCTTCTTCCAGCGAGAGCAAGTGCCCCGGCCTTTAGCAGGACAGCAAAGCGGCACTCCGCGGCCCAGCCCACGGCCGGGCGTGTCTGTATCCCATCCACACGCCTGTTTGCCTCTGTGTAGTCAAACTAGGACGGGAAAAAGGATTTTGGCTGATTTGGCCCAGACCACAGCTCAGCCTAACGAGGTGGGGCCGTGGCAAGCGCGAGGGAGCTTGCGTGGCAACGCTCGTGGGCAGAAAGGAAGCCAGCGGTGCAGCAGGCGCGTTCCGGGAGCTCCCCGGGCTGAGTGCCCCCAGCCGGGTGCTAACACAGCCTTATTTTCCTTCTCTCCTGATCCGGGCCGGCAGTTTAACCTGGTGTGTGCCCGCTCCTGGATGCTGGACCTGTTTCAGTCGGCAGTGAACATCGGCTTTTTCATCGGCTCTGTGGGCATCGGCTACCTGGCAGACAGGTAGGGGGGAAGCACCTGCAGTGGAATTTCAGGAACCCCATAGGCTTGGCAAAGACCGGGATTCACCTGGCTCCGGCTGAACACCGTCTTTTCCCCAGACACACAGACCGCAGCCCCGGCTCCCGGGCCTGTTGGTTCTGCAGGCTTAGCTTCCCCGGCTTTGATGCCTGATTCCCCACGCTCTGGGGTGGTAGAGCGATGCCACAACACGAGCCAGCAGCTTCGGGTTCGCAGGAAGAGGAACAGACGGCGATTTAATCCCTTTTGTAATCTCCAGTCTGTTTCCAGGCCTCCTGCCACCCACCTGCATGTGGGTTCCCAGGGCTCCTGAGCCCTGTCCCATCCGCTACTTGTCTCCCGTGCACTGGGAGCCGCCGGCACCAGGCCCAGTGCAGGCTCCCCCACTGCCCAGCAGACCACAGGATTCCTGGCCTGTGGGACCCTGTGGCCAGATGTGACGATCCGTGTAGAATGTAGGATATGACCTTCCGAGAGGGAAGCGGGGTCTGTCACGCCAGGAAAGCTGTGGGCGCCTGCACGGGGTCAGCGTCCCCAGAGAGGGAGACGAGGCATGGTCCCCCCAGATGCGTCCATGCTCGGGGGGTTGCTGCGCAGTGTCAGCCCCCGCTGGGGGCCCGGTGCCTTCAGTTGGCCGACGCGGTGGAATTCCACCATCGCTGTGCCACACGTTCCCTGTAACAGCGTCTTCGCCCTGCTGACGACCACTTAGCTATTTCTAGGAGTCCTCAAGAGGGAAAGACATGGAATAACTGGCTTTATACTCGATACGCATTTCGGACAACTTGGCTGTTGGGGTTAATCATTTAATATTCCTAACACCAGGTGGGTGCTGAGTGTTTGCCATTGGCCAGTTTCGTTCTCTGGAATCATCAGGCAGTAACACCTGACGTCCACCTGTGTATCAGTACTTGCGAGAGGTGCTTAGAAAGTTCATGGGAAATGCATGCGATAAACCATACCAGGACCTCAAAAGGTCTTGCACCAAATAAGCTTATCTTTTCAAACTCCATCTTTCCACAAACTCTTTGAGGTAACTTTGTATAATATATATAGATGACATACTGTATGTATTCTGTAAATCTACCCCTTTAAAAAAAAAAGATTTATTTATTTGAAAGGCAGAGTTACAGAGAGAGAGAGAGAAAGAGAGAGAGAGAAAGAGAGAGAGGTCTTCTATCCACTGGTTCACTCCCCAAATGGCCGCAATGGCCAGAGCTGGGGTGGTCCAAAGCCAGGAGCTTCTTCTGGGTCTCCCATGTGGGTAAGGGGCCCAAGCACCCGGGCCATCTTCCACTGCTTTTCCAGGCCACAGCAGAGAGCTGGATCAGAAGTGGGCGCCCCAGGCCCTGTCTACCTCACTCTTACACGCACTCTCCGTGCCTTGCTGTCCAGTCCCTGACGTGCCCCAGTCCTGCGAGTATATCAGACACAAGGAGAACATTCTCACCAAGCGCCTCCTATCCTCAGGCTGGATTCAAACTTGCAAACATGGTAAAGGTGAATCATGACAATTTCATGTGTCACGCGTGCAGACACACGCAGGCTCACGCACACACCCGGGGGCCTGAGGGCCTGCTGGCACAGGAGAGAGGAAGGAGGCAGCCGAGGCACCAGGCCAGCAGCGGCTGCATCCATCACCCACACCCAGCCTCCTGGCCACGGCTGCTGCTGGGCTGGCCGTGGGAGGTGTAGACGCGGATGGGTGTTTTTTATTTTTGTTGCCGCGGGAAGGAGGACAGCTTGGGAGACCACCCTTGAGTCAAGAGTGACTCATCGGCAGGGGAGTCGGAGTCCAGGGAGCGCACAGGGGACAGTTTCAGCCGTGAGTTAATTATTCTCGTCCCACTCAGCAAGTAGGAGGCCGCTCCGGACTCCCCAGGGACGGTGCATTCCTGAGTCACCATCTCCAGTCAATTATCCACCTGCTGAGTGACCTCACTACTCCGTTCTGGGGGCTGAAATCCGCCCCGTCAAGGCGATTACTCATTATTCTTCCCCAGAGGGTTGGACCTCAGGATGCTGCTCAAAGCTCCTGGAAAAATGGAATTAGAACGCAAGCCGATGCGTGAAAGCTTTCACCAATGCACTTTTGTAAACTTCTTGGAGGCCCCCTGGTGTGCCTGGATTTCAAAACAATATTGCCTCAAAAGAAACGTAATTTTGAATTCCAGTTCTCATGGACTGTTGGAAGGACTCTCATACACACCTCTGATTTTTCTTAAGTTGCCTGGGGCTTTGTCGTCCCTTCTACAGGGTGCAGGTTGGCCTAGCGGAGCTGGGGAACCTTTTATCTGCCAAGGGCCAAGTGCATATTTACAACATCCTTCTTGGGCCGTATAGACGGATCAACCTAAACGTGAGCTGCTGTAGACTTACCGACTTTCGATTCCCAGCTGCGGTTGCCTTGGCAGGACCAGACAAAATGATTTTCCAAGCCTTACAGAGCCCACAGGCTGGGCGTTCCCCACCGCAGGAAAGTAACAAGACAATTACCACAGAGCTGAAAAGAAATGCGAAGAATACAGCTTTTGCATACTGAACGCCTCCCGAGTCGTTTTTAGACTTTCTACAATGTGAGAAGAATCTCACGGAAACCCATTTATCCCAGATCAAACCAACATTAAATAAAACACATCATCTTCCATGGAGGATTCTAAAACTCTACACAAACATCTGACTAGGGTATCTTCTAGAAAACTAAAAACCGGAAGACATTAGGAAGAGGTGGAAAACAAGAATACCGAGTTTTATTCCGAGCCAACACTTTGAGGGTCCGTTTTGCAGATGGAAGAAAAGAAGGGTACAGTCATATGTTAGTGACCTTGAAAATGAATCGTCTACAAGCTAATTTATTCCTTCTTCTACAGCTTCCTAAACAAGCAAACGCTCACCAGTTCTAGGTTCTCACTGAATGATTGCTCGTGCTAGGTGCTATGAACTCGTAGATGGTTAACCATGGGCTGGCTGTGAGGGACATGGTCCATTCATTTCAAGCTATGGAAGTGAGGTCCCCAGACAGAGCCGGCTGGAAATGTGCACGGTTGCATAGCGTTTCCGTGGTTACACTGGACATGAGTAACCTCGTGAGCATCGCGGTCAAGTAGGGTGAAGCGATTAGGAAGCAAGCACTCGGGGCTACGTGCTGATGGCACGTGTGTTGGCGCGATTTAGCCGATTGCCGGTCACGGCTGTGTTCAGCGAGCAGCGGACAAGTTTTCCGAAAGTTGCATCAGCAAGGCTCTGAGAGCCAGCACCACGGTTCCCACCCGTCCAGGGTCTTCCCAAAGCACGCACCGACGGCTGCGTACCAGTCACCTGGCATCCTCGTCTATCTCACTCGGGATCAAAACAGACTTTTCAAGTACAGTCTCGGGGCAGGCACGGTGGGGCAGCAGGTTAGGCCACTTCTTGGGATGCCTGCAGCCCATGTCAGAGTTCATATCAGGGTTCAAGTCCCAGCAGCTGATACGGCTTCTTGCTAATGCATCCTGGGAGGCGGCAGATGGTGGCCCCAGCCCCCAGGATGGTGTCCTTGGCTCCTGGCTTCATCCTGGCCCAGCCCTGGCTGTTGAAGGCATGTGGCAGGGGAGGGGGAACCAGGAAGTAGAAGATCTTATATATCTCCTCGCTCTCTCTTTCTCTTTCTCTCTGGCATTCAGGTAGATTAAGATAAATACAAATAAACCTTAAAAGTGACTCAAGTGGACTTTATCCTCAGTAGCTTGTGGATGAGATACCGAAGCACAGGGAAATGAAAGCCCAGCTTCCCATGTGCAAGGCGCACGTCAGCCACACAGGCTCTTGTTAGAGGTCACATCCCGATCCAGGCGGTCCGGGTGGCCACCGTCCCAGCCGATGCCCAGCATGGGTGAGGAGGAGGGTCCTGGAAGGGCCCCTGAACACCTGCCACAGCGTGGACCCAGAAGGGGCCTTGGCCCTGGTGGGTGGGGCTCACCTGTGCTTACATTGAGGCAGAGTGACCTGAACGGGGCTGACTCAGGGATTCTGTGTGGACCTCAGTCCACGGCCCCCCGACCCCACCCCAGCATGTCCATAACTTAGAGCTAAGCTCTGCTCTCGTCTGCAGTTCCCTAACTCTCGTGAGTTTTTTTTCTTTGAGAACCAGCCCCAGTTCACTTTCTCTCCCCCCCCCACCCCCCGCAGGTTCGGCCGTAAGCTCTGCCTGTTGGTCACAATCCTCATCAATGCTGCGGCCGGGGTCCTCATGGCTGTTTCTCCCAACTACACCTGGATGTTAATTTTCCGCTTGATCCAAGGGCTGGTCAGCAAAGCAGGCTGGCTCATAGGATACATCCTGAGTAAGAATGCGGGGCTGAAGCTGTGGTGGTGTGGACACGGGTGGCCGGGGGCCGGGTGCTGGGCGGACAGCAGCTTTCCCGTCATCCTGGGAGGTTTCTCTTGCCGTGGAAAACAACTTCTAAAATATTTGCAGTCAACTCGTTCTGCATTTCCCCCAAAAAAAGCAAAGAAGGCAGAAACCAGGGCAGGCAAGCAGCGTGCCTCCCAGCCTCAGAGAACTCTCCAGCTCTTGGTTTCTGGCCCCTGGAGCGCCCTCCAGCCCGCCAGGCCTGTTCACTTAGGAGCCTGGATGCTGAGAGATTTGTTTGACTTTTAAAGGGCCCTGTGGCTTTGCGTAAATCCATTCCAGTAACCACAATGATCCTCCACGTACCCACAATGCAAGTCCTGCAATCAACCTAGCATTCCACACACCGTCTACGGCCCAGGAACATACTTAATACCTCCTCATTAAGAGTCAGAGCGTGGCTAGCTTCCGGGGCGTGGAGAGCACTTGAAGTCTAGCGGGGTAGTGTGCTTGAAAGAAGAGTGAGAAGAATTAGCACCTTAATCAGGTGTTGAGAGTGAACAGCACCTCCCTTCCCCTTCGGGCACATCCCGACAGCAGGTGTACAGCGGGGACACGCACAGATAAAAATACAAATAACACAGCTGTCGTTTCAGATGGGAGAGCTAGAATGTGAGCACATGCTCGCAGCGTCACCCGGTGACCTCACCTGGGGGAGGACCCAGCAGACAGTGGAGCATCTGGGGCCTGGCACGGCTCCTGCCGGGGAGCCCCTGGGAAACGCTCCGCCAGCCAGGAGTCAGCACGCGCGGCTCTGCAGCCAGCCCTCGGGGCTCTGGGAGACGCAGCAGGGAGAAGCGCGGAGCTTCATGGTGCACGTGTAACAGCAGGACGTCCTCTCCCCTCCACGCAGCCACGGCTTCTGTCCCTCTGGATGCCCCCGCCACACACCCTGCATATCCGCCCTGTCACCCCGCCTTGTCACCCCGCCTTGTCACTCCATTGTCATTCTGCCTTGTCACCCCACCTTGTCACACCATTGTCACTCCACTTTGTCATGCTGTCTTGTCACTCTGCCTTGTCACTTGTCACTCCATCTTGTCACCCTGCTTTGTAGCTCTGCCTTGCCACTCCGTCTTGTCACTTGGCACTCCACCTTGTCACCCTGCCTTGTCACTCCGCTTTGTCACCCGCCTTGTCACCCTGCCTTGTCGCCACGCCTTGTTGCTCCACCTTGTCACTCCATTGTCACTCCACCTTGTCACTCTGTCTTGTCACTTGTCACTCGCCTTGTCACTTGGCACTCCACCTCTTTCTGCTCACCTTCCTCAACCCCACCCATGACCCCAACCCTTTGAAACAGGGCTTTCCCATCACTGAGCGCGTATGTCATCTCGCTCAGTTCTGTTTAAAAACACATTTGGATGATTCATACATGCAGAAATACGTTCAGGGTACTAAGTAGTGGAAGTCTGCAACATATTTGTCAAACACCCAAAGCAAAAACTACATCTCGTGGGATGGCCAGAATTTTTTTTTTTATTTTTAATTTTGACAGGCAGAGTTAGACAGTAAGAGAGTGAGAGAGAGAGAGAGAAAGGTCTTCCTTCCATTGGTTCACCCCCCAAATGCCTGCTACGGCTGGCGCACCGCGCTGATCCGAAGCCAGGAGCCAGGTACTTATCCTGGTCTCCCATGGGGTGCAGGGTCCAAGCACTTGGGTCATCCTCCACTGCCCTCCCTGGCCACAGCAGAGAGCTGGCCTAGAAGAGGGGCAACCAGGACAGAATCCGGAGCCCTGATGGCCAGAATTTTAATACTGCTAGGGTTACCCTACCAAGGATCTTCAATAAGTTTATAGGAAATACATATTCTCTTTGTATTTACAAAAAAAAAAAAAAGGAGATTTATTCTATTTAGTTGAAAGGTAGAGTTACAAAGTGACGAGGATAGACAGGGAGAAATCTTCCTTCTGCTAGTTCACTCCTCAATTGGCCGCAACAGCCAAAGTTTGGCCAGGCCAAACCCAGGAGGCTGGAGCTCCATCCGAGTCTCCCACAGGGATGCAGGGGCCCAAACACTGGGGCCGTCTACTGCTGTCTTGCTAGGCACATTAGCAGGGAGCTGGATCAGAAGTCAGGACTCAAACAGGAGCTCCTATGGGATGCTGGCGTCGTAGGCTTAACCCACCACCTACAACCATCATGTCAGCCTGGCATGTGACCTTTGAACTCCAGTTTCCATGAACATTTTGAAATCCCCACCTAGAAAAATAACTATTGCCCAATTCAATGCACCAGACCTTGTGTACTCGTCAGGTGCTGGCCGTGGGGTGAGAGGAAGTTGATTATTACGCACGTGCCCAGGTGTGCGGGCGAATCCACTCTTGCGGGGATAGAGGGCCCTGACTGGTGTTCCCCACCTTCCATGAGCTCGCCATGGCTGCCTTCAAGGTACCCGCCTTGCACAACCAGCCTGCAAAACTGAGAACTTACAAATGAACTCTCGCAAACCAGCACTAGCCGGCTTCCAACCCACTGCTGGTTGCAAACCATGTACACAGACAAAGAGGATTTCAAAGAAAACATTGCACCTGTTCGAGAGAACCCGTTCTGTTCAGGTGTTCACTTATATTAAAATCGTGTACAATCTAGAGTCAAGTGTGGTTCATGCATTGAGTTCTTTAGTTATCACTGCCTTGCTACCTAATCTAGATAGAAAGTTTGTATCCGAAATGTAATTGCGTTTGTCCATGACCGTGTTCTGTGTGTGAAAATCAGTTTTGCCTCTCTTGGTAGGCCTTCATCACATCTAGAGTAGGAATATAAGATTTCTCTGAATTAATACAGCAGCAATAATTATGACAAAACATGCCCCAGTGAACATTTATAATTGTTTGGATTGGCCAGCGCAGCAGCTCACTAGGCTAATCCTCTGCCTTGCGGCGCCGGCACACCGGGTTCTAGTCCGGTCGGGGCGCCGGATTCTGTCCCGGTTGCCCCTCTTCCAGGCCAGCTCTCTGCTGTGGCCAGGGAATGCAGTGGAGGATGGCCCAAGTCCTTGGGCCCTGCACCCGCTGGGAGACCAGGAGAAGTACCTGGCTCCTGGCTTCGGATCGGCGCAGCACCGGCCATAGCAGCCATTTGCGGGGGTGAACCAATGGCAAAGGAAGACCTTTCTCTCTGTCTCTCTCTCTCTCACTGTCTAACTCTGCCTGTCAAAAATCTTGTTTGGAGAGCTCTATGGGAAATTCTGGAATGTGGAGTCTGTCTTTGAGGCTGGGTCTTGTTTCCGCGTCGCTGGGCAGCCGCTCAATGTCCCTCTGCATCGCACTGACCTTTGGAATCTGTGCAGTTACAGAGTTTGTCGGGCTGAATTATCGGAGAACGGTGGGGATTTTATACCAGGTGGCCTTCACCGTGGGGCTCCTGGTGCTGGCCGGGGTGGCCTACGCCCTCCCCCACTGGAGGTGGCTGCAGCTCACGGTGACCCTGCCCTACTTCTGCTTCCTGCTCTATTACTGGTAAGTCCCCCGGGAACAAAAAAGGCGGGACACTGAGACCACCGATTTGCCTCCTGTGCAGCGTGCTGCCGAATTCTGAGGCTTCCCTCACTCTCCAGGCCTTCTCGCGGGCTGCCAATTCAGCAATTTAGAGACGAAAATCCCAGACACCAAGCTGTCTCCTCCTCTGGAAATCGGTGTCCCTTTCGCACTGGGCTGGGTCTCACTTTCACACATTATTGACTTGGGGTTTAGATCTCCATGTCCACGCCCAAGGCAGACATTGCCAATCAATTACAGCAGCTTTTATCCCAGATAGGGCCAACATAGCACTCAAGGTAGACCATATCAGTCAATCAGCTACCAAGGCGAGTAAAACATATTTGTCATCCTTGCCCAAGTGAAGCGCATGGGAAAAGGGCAGAAATGAGAAACCCCTAGCGTGGAGTTCCTTCCAATACAGGGTGATGCTGGATGATCAGACCAGACAGCTCCCCCGTGCAGCAAGCCCACTCATGTGTTCTGCCTGCACGTGTCTGTCTTCCCCTCCAGTTGTCTTGCCTGAGTTTAATGTTCCCTGGCAGCCTGTTTCGTTGCCCTGTTTCATTACCCAGAGGCCAGTGACACCCTGTGTCTCAGTCAGCTCCAGCTGCTGTAACGTATGCCATAGACGGGGTCGTAGACCACGGACACCTGCTTCTCACAGTCCTGGAGGCCGTGGAGACCAAGGTCAAAGTGCTGGGAGATGCAGCTCCTGGTGGGGGCCCTTCCCGTGGATGAGCGGATACTTGTGGTCACGTGACAGAGGGGGGGGGAGGGGGAGGGAGACGGAGAGGGGGAGGGGGGGGAGGGGAGGGGGAGGGGGAGGGAGGGCTCGGGTCTTTCTCCGGATAAGGACGTGGTCTCCTCGTGGGCCCCCAGGCTCAAGGCCTCGACATCTAACGCTGATCACCTGCCCAAAGCCCCACCTTCAAGTTACACACTGGGGGTCAGGGCTTCAGAATCCGGATTTGAGGGGGACGCAAACACCAAGTCTGCAACGGGCGCTCTGAGAGTGGCCCTGGCTCCCTCCTCCCCCCGCCCACTCCTTACACCTGGTTCCACCTCCGTGTGTCTCTGAGCCCACCCCCTTTGCCCAGCTACATTAGGATGTCATCACTTCTCGCCCTGGTTTGCTCTCACGCGGTCCCCGCCGGCCTTCCTGACATTAGCTTGAGGGTCCTCTGAGCCAAGAGTCTTGATGCACTTGAAACACCCGGTTTGGCCGGCGCCGTGGCTCACTAGGCTAATCCTCCGCCTGCGGCACTGGTACCCTGGGTTCTAGTCCCCGTCAGGGCACCGGATTCTGTCCCGGTTGCCCCTCTTCCAGGCCAGCTCTCTGCTGTGGCCAGGGAGTGCAGTGGAGGATGGCCCAAGTGCTTGGGCCCTGCACCCCATGGGAGACCAGGAGAAGCACCTGGCTCCTGCCATTGGATCAGCACGCTGGCCGCAGCGGCCGGCCATTGGAGGGTGAACCAACGGCAAAGGAAGACCTTTCTCTCTGTCTCTCTCTCTCACTGTCCACTCTGCCTGTCAAAAAAAAAAAAAAAAAAAAAACGGTAACATTGACTAAAATTATCCCTTCCATCGGCTTACTGTTTGTACTTGAGCATCTTATGGTTTCTCCAAGGAACCCAGCCTTGCCACTGTCTCTCAACAGGATGGATTTAAATTTACTTTCCATTCTCCAAGCTCCACAAGGGGCACCTGTCTGAAAGATCGCTGAGACGCACAGGAGACAGCAGGCACGCTCGGGGGAGAAGGGGGACAGGAGATGACCCTGGCAAGGGAGGACGAGGGCCAGAACCAGGACGGAGCCATGGGTGTGAAGAGGGGCAGGTGATGGATGGCAGAGCAGGTGCCTGGTGGGTGAGCCCCAAGTCGGGCTGTGTGCCTGCGTGGAGGTGCGCGCGGCAGGCAGAGTGATGAGGTCTGGAGGGCACGGTCACGTGCAGGTATCCGGAGACCAGCGAAATGCGAGGCTCTGGAATCCAAGTAGAAAGAGGGCGAGGAAGTAGGTGGGTTAGGACACAGGCGAGCGCCAATCCTATTCCAACCAAAGAAAAGGGGGGGTGGGGGGAGAAGGGAGGAGCTGCAGGAGCAGAGGGAGGAGGGGGCTCCGGTCAAGCTCGGGCCCCCCCCCCAGGCCTTCCCCAGGCAGTCCGTCCGGGCCTGGGGCGGGGGGTGGGGGCTCCTCCCCGCTCAGTGACCCGAGTGCGTCACTGCTTGTTGGACTCAAGTGGACAGCGCTTTCATCAGCACTCAGGTCGCCTGGCCGTAGAACCCAGAGCTTGCAGACAAGAGACCTCGGACTGAGCCAAAACTTCCCATCCCTCGGTTATTTCCCAGCCACTGATTATACTTCTCAGATAATTTTCACTCGCAAGTTCTCCCCTCCACAATTTCTTGCTGGCGTGTAATAACTGCGCCTCTTTGCGGGCTGCAATGCGCTGTTGGAAGGCAGGATATGGAGCACTCTGGTCTGACCACAGTAACCAGCACTCCATCTCCTCATCCCTGTCCTCGGAGCCCTCGAACTACATCACAGACGGCTGGGAGCTGCCGTCAGCCCCTGTGCTGTGGACACCAGAACACGTCCCCTCCAATTGTCCATCCCTGTCCTTTTCACCCGGTGTCGTCAGTCTCCAAAAGCATCGGTCCGTTGCCTCTGGCACTTCCCCGACGATCAGGTCATGGCTGTGCAGACTTCCCAGCCTGAGGCCAAGCTGTCCCGACCCTGCTATCTGCAGCCCCAAGTCCTCTTGCCTCCCATCCCACCCCCCAGCGCAGGCAGCGGTGGCCCCAGCTGACCCTGCCCCCTGCACCACGGTCAGCCCCAGCTGCTCGTGGATCTCAGGTGTCATCCGGAAAATGGCCTTGCAGGGAGTGTCACAGGGCCAAGGTTCACACCTTGACTGACAGCCATGACTGACAGCCGAGGAGCGCCCAGGCCCCTGCTCCTCTGAGCCAACCTTAACCCAGGAAGAGCCCCGACTCCTCCCGCACAAACACTCCTCCCCCCACTCCCTTTCGAGCCCAGAGTGACCCACAAGCAGCCCCGCCAGCCCCTCCTACATGCTCCCTCCTGCCCCTGCTCCCCCTGCACCCCAGAGTCAGACCCACCGGGCGCGTCCTGTTGAGCAACAGGCGAGGGCTCCCTGCACACACCCTGGCTTTGGAGGCTCCCATCGCCTGACCTCAGACGTTCCCTTGGGAAACCAGCTGTGGCCCTAAGATATCCAAGGAAACTCCAAAGACTGTGGGAAAATGGAACAAAAACACAGCTTATTTTGTTGCAAAAAAAAAATTTTTTTGAAGGCCACATGTGGTTTTTGCATAATACTCACTCTCCACAAACTTTCTGTCCTGTGTGGATTTCAAAGTTTTTTGACCAAAATTAGCTTGTCTTTTCATTCCGTCTTCCGTGAACTCGCTGAGGTCCCCGCGTGCGGGCCTGCTTTTCACCACGATCGTCTGTTTGCTCACTCCCACCTGCACCGCTGGGCCCCAGCTCTCACTTCTCAGGCCCTTGCAAGGCCTGGGGCCCACCCACGGCCCTGCCTCTCCACCCTGGGGGCACAGGTGGGCATTGAGTTGCTACCGGCTCCTCTGCTTAGAAATCACCAGGCCTCCTGGACAAGGCGGGCGCACATCAGCATTCGAGGGAGGCGGGATCCCGTCCCCTGCGCCATCTTCACTCCCATGTGGACCCCCACCCCACCCCCCATGCTGTCAGATGCTCACAGACATGAAAGCAGGAATTGGGGGGCCTTAGCGACAGGTTCCCCTCGCTAATCTTGGACCCTAGGTGCATCCCTGAGTCGCCAAGGTGGCTCATCTCCCAGAACAAGAACGCCAAAGCCATGAGGATCATGGAGCACATTGCAAAGAAAAACGGAAAATCTCTGCCTGCATCTCTTCAGGTAAGCTGGGGCCCTGTGGTGGTGGTGGTGGGGGGGGGACGGAGATAAGGGAAGCTGCGGGGAGCCCCACGCACACCAGCGGGCTCCACGGGGGCTGTGGGAAGGATCCACCAGGTGGCGCTGCACCTGCCGGGGTGAAATGCAACAGAATCCTTGGAGCACTGAGCATGGGCTTCCCTGCGTGGGTGTAGAAAAAGACAGAAAACGCCCAGTGAAGAGGCAGCCAGAGGTCATTTCAAAACCCAGTGAGGATTCTGCACCCCTCACGTCTCGGCTCAACACCCCATCGTGTTTACCCACACGTCCTGCACCCTCGCAGGGCTGGAGTCGCAGGCCAGGAGTGCAAGCCTTTTGGAGAGAAATTGTCTTGCAGCGTTGTAGGCAATCCCCGCCTTCTCTCACAGAACTGAGTTGCGAGGAGCCCGTTTCCCGCTGTGTTTGGGGTTTTGCCCTTAGCACAGCTCAGCACCCCGAACTCGGGCCTTCTCAGCCAGCTGAGTTTGGGGCGAGAGCAGGAATGAGTCTGAAAGTTCATCAGCGTGAGCGGGGATCGCTGCTGCTCTGTGAAATGGGATAAAAGGAAGCAGGGTTTGTGAAGACTCCGGGGACGGGCGGCCGTGCGTGGTGGGTGGCAGGCACACAGTGAGGGAAGCCACTGCCGTTTCCCCCTGGATGCCCCGGCAGGCCGACGGCAGCCACACAGAGCGCCTCTCTGCTGTTCCCTCAGAGCCTGAGAGCGGCCGAGGACGTCGGCGAGAAGCTGAATCCCTCCTTCCTCGACTTGGTCAGGACCCCCCAGATAAGGAAGCACACCTGCATCTTGATGTACAACTGGTGAGAGCTGCTGCCGCCCTCAACCTCGCTCCAGCTCCTTCCCCACAGCCGTCCACCCTGCAGGCGGGACCCCGGGTGCCTCCAGCCCGCCGCCTAGCCCCGGTGTTAGCATGGGCCGCAGCCGGCCACGTGCGGCCCCTGCACAGCGGGCTCCCCGGCTGGTGTTTCCTCGTGTTGAGATCAGCTCAGGCCCCCACGCACAGGCCAGAGTGTCCTCACCTTGGCTTCCCCATAGAATCACCTGCAGGGCTGTAAAACCCCAAAACCACACTCCCATCCCCACAACTACTGATTTAATTGGTCTAAGACGGGGCCCAGGGGCCAACAGCGCTTGGTTCTGCAGGTGACCCTGATACACGGCCAACACCCAGCACCACTGGTGCACACGCTGACCGTGACAGGAGAGCTCTACCACACAGCAGTGCAGAAAACACCTTTCCCTTCTGTTCTGCCTGGAAGGGAAAAAAAAAAAAACTGGACAAGAATAATCCACTGGCTCCACAACCCAGGGACTTGAACTTGAACTTTGCTTGTGGTTCCAGGTCACTCCCAGCGCCTTGTTAGCGCAGCTCGCTTCCCTCTCAGGCCAGCCGGGGAGGATTTACAATCCCAGACAGAAGCCACACGCCGGGGAATTAAGGCAGCGGCCGCCTTCACCACCCGGCACAGACAGGGCGTTGCACCCCCAGCTCTGCGTGCCTGCTTTCCTTTTCTGAATAACTGGGACTCTGGCCCACCAGCCTCATATTTTCCATGACACACAACGACTGTGGTCGTCCACCAAACCAGAAGCAGCGCCAAAATGTTTGTCTCAGGCCAGGAGAGGAAGCAGCCAGGAGCGAGGCGGCACCCCTGGTCTTGGCGTCCCCCAAGCTTGAATGCAGCTGTCGATCCTGTAGATCCCCACAGAGAGAGACTTCACAGCCACTAATTACTTGGTGTCATTTTGAAATACTCGTCTTGGCCAGCGCCGCGGCTCACTAGGCTAATCCTCCGCCTTGCGGCGCCGGCACACCGGGTTCTAGTCCCGGTCGGGGCACCGGATTCTGTCCCGGTTGCCCCTCTTCCAGTCCAGCTCTCTGCTGTGGCCCAGGAGTGCAGTGGAGGATGGCCCAAGTGCTTGGGCCCTGCACCCCATGGGAGACCAGGAGAAGCACCTGGCTCCTGGCTTCGGATCAGTGCCATGCGCCGGCCGCAGCACGCCGGCTGCAGCGGTCATTGGAGGGTGAACCAACGGCAAAAGGAAGACCTTTCTCTCTGTCTCTCTCTCTCACTATCCACTCTGCCTGTCAAAAAAAAAAGAAAGAAAGAAAGAAAGAAAAGAAAAAAGAAAGAAATACTCGTCTTGACCTTGAGCTAGGCAGGTGCTGCTGCAATGCTGCACTGACCTTGTCCACTCTCTGGCTCTGGGGTCACAGCCGACGCCGGGTGGAGTGGACGGTGCAGAGCGGTGGGGGGAGGGAAAGCAGGGAGACCCCTCGGGGAAAGGTGGTCTGCAGCCACCTCCCGCTCTTCCAGGAGCCCCTCCCTGCGGCTGGTCCTCAGCCTGACCCCTGCTCTCTGGCCTGTTCAGGTTCACCAGCTCGGTCCTCTACCAAGGCCTCATCATGCACCTGGGCCTCGCAGGGGGCGACATCTACCTGGATTTCTTCTACTCTGCGCTGGTGGAATTCCCGGCCGCCTTCCTCATCATTGCCACCATCGACCGCGTCGGTCGCCGGTACCCGTGGGCCGTGTCCAATATGGTGGCAGGGGCTGCGTGTCTAGCCTCCGTGTTTGTCCCTGATGGTAAGTCCGAGGCCAGGCCGGGGGCTTGTCTCTGGGGCCTTGAGAGAGGGGCGTGGCACGGCCGGCTGATAGGAACAGGGTGTCATTTACCCTTCAACCCCGTTCATTTCCTTCCTGAGCGGGTAACCCCCGCTGTTGCCTGATGGAATGGACTAGGAGGGGCTGTGTAGACCCACACCACGGCCACAGGGGGGCCCAGGTCACAGTCCCACCCGGGATTGCCCAGATAGGACTCAGGCAGCTGCCTTGGTCTCTCTGCACCTCCTTGCAGAGTGAGGAAGTCTGGGTAAAGGCCACCGGGAAGCACCCAGCCCCCTGCTTCCCTCTTCAAACGCTGTCTGCGTGGAGGGCAGAGTCCTTCCAGCACGTGCAGTCTTACGTTATTAACAATTATTTCAAACAAGGCAGTATTTTGCTGTTTCTTTGGGGCGGTCTCTGTAAAGATGGCCCTACCTTGAATGTGCCTGCAGTTCTGTGGCCATTAATGACCAAGGCCTAAAGAGACAGAAAAAGACCGCTGGTTCCAGGGGCTGGCGGGGTGGGGGCTGAGGGGGTGGAGCACCCAGGCCGCCCTGCACCCTGCATGTGTGTTGCTGACCATGACGCCACAGACTGCCACTCAAGGAAAAGGGGCTTGTCGAGGCTCATGGCTCTGGCCCAAGGTCAAGGGGCCAGGGCTGGTGATCCTCTTGCTGGCAGAGTCCCAAGGCGGGGCGGGCATCACACGGCAAGAGCCAGGGAGCGCATGCTTGTGTGCACATCTCTGGCCTCCCTATCCCATCACGGGGGCTGCACCTGATGGCCTCGTCCAGTCCTGACCGCCCCACAGAGCCCCCGCTGAACACCATCAGACCAACTTCCTGCTCTGGGACTTAAAGTCCAGCACAGATTTGGAGGGGACATACCATGTGATACCACAGTGGTGGACACACCCAGTGTTAGGTTTGTCCCAACCCATAGCTTGGTCCCCACCAAGAGTGCACGCTGACGGCAGGGCGCCAGGGGCCTGGGGTAATGGCAACCTGGCCATGCAGGTGCATCAGCCGAAACACCCTGTGTGGGGAGGTGGTGATGACAAGGGAGGCTGCACCTGTGCAGCCACACGGGGGCCATGGGAGAACTCTGTGCCTTCCTCTTAATTTTTTTAAATTTTATTTATCTATTTAAAATGCAGAATTACAGAGAGGCAGAGAGAGAGCGAAAGAGAGAGAGAGAGATCTTCCATCCGCTGGTTCACTCCCCAATAGCCACAATGGCTGGAGCTGGGCCTATCTGAAGCCAGGAACCAGGAGCTTCTCCTGGGTCTCCCACGCAGGTTCAGGGGCCCAAGCACTGGGGCATCTTCTACTGCTTCCCAGGCCATAGCAGAGCGCTGGACCGGAAGTGGAGCAGCAGGGACTTGAACCAGGATGCCGGCACTGCAGGAGGTGATTTTATTGCTATGCCACAGCACCATCCCCTGCCTTCCTCTTAATTTTTCCATGAACCAAAAACTGCTTTTAAAAAATCATCCTTTTTTGGCCGGCGCCGCGGCTCACTAGGCTAATCCTCCACCTAGCGGCGCCGGCACACCGGGTTCTAGTCCCAGTCGGGGCGCCGGATTCTGTCCCGGTTGCCCCTCTTCCAGGCCAGCTCTCTGCTGTGGCCAGGGAGTGCAGTGGAGGATGGCCCAAGTGCTTGGGCCCTGCACCCACACGGGACACCAGGAAAAGCACCTGGCTCCTGGCTCCTGCCATCAGATCAGCGTGGTGCGCCGGCTGCAGCGCGCCGGCCGCGGCGGCCATTGGAGGGTGAACCAACGGCAAAGGAAGACCTTTCTCTCTGTCTCTCTCTCTCTCACTGTCCACTCTGCCTGTAAAAAAAAAAAATCATCCTTTTTTAAAAAAATATATAAAAGGAGAGAGTATTGGAATTGCGTCTAAGATTGAAACGGGCGTGGGGAATCTCTTGGCACTTTCTGGGTCCTAGAGGAGCGGATTCGCTGTCTGGCCCGGCTCTGGGGTGCGGAAGTGCCCACACACACGGCCTGTGCCTCCCCCAGATCTGCAGGGGCTGAGGATCGCTGTGGCCTGCTTGGGCAGGATGGGGATCACCATGGCCTACGAGATGGTGTGCCTGGTCAACGCCGAGCTGTACCCCACGTTCATCAGGTGAGACTTCCCCACACAGGCACAGGTGGAGGCGGGGCTCAGGGGCAGACAGCACATGACCACAGCAGGGGCTGAGCTGGGAGGGAGGACCCCGGGGCTACAGGAGAGAGGGCAGCAGGCAGGTGCACTGGGGGCCAGGTGTGGGGAGGGACAGCGAACACCTCAGCGAGTGGGAGGGAGAGGAGGCGGGCACACATGGACCCTGGGTGCTGACAGTGATTGGCTGCCTGCCGGGAAGGGTCTTGGGGAGGGGCAAGAGGGTGAGGGCGTCCCGTACCGTCCCGGTCACAGGAATCTCGGTGTCCTGGTCTGCTCCTCGCTGTGCGACATCGGCGGCATCGTCACGCCTTTCCTGGTCTACCGGCTCACGGCCATCTGGCTGCAGCTGCCCTTGGTGGTGTTCGGTGAGACGCCCACGTTCGGTCCCCGCTCTGCTCCCAACTGTGGGTTCTCAGCTCCTGCAAGGCCCTTCCTGGCACCCAGGGAGTGAAACAGCGGGGGTGGGAGCTCCCACTTCCTCCCTCTGCTCCCCAAACAAGAAGAGAGAGATCCTCCTAGGTATTAGCAGGAAAGGCTGTTTGCTAGGGACCCCGGTCCCCACTGAAAACAGGTGCTGTGCCTCCTGGTGACATTGGGAGCCACCGTGCTGCAGGTCTGGGCTGATGCTCATCTGTGGGCCTCGGTCTCCCCAGGCTCCCTCAGCCGAGCTCTGGCCTGCAGCCAGGACTGCGAAACACAAAGTCCTGACCCTGCTGCTTCCAAACCAGGCCGCTGAAATGTAGCCAACAACATGCCCCAGCCCCAGAAGAAACAAAGACCCACATGACGGCCGTGCACCAGCCTCACAGGGGACCCAGGCTCAGGGGGACCCCACAGGCGCCTCCTTAGCCAGTGAGATCCCAGGAGCATAGCTCAGCTGCAGTGAGCAAGGGGAACCATGCTGGCCTCTGTCACGGCAGCTGACAGGTGACAGGTGACAAGTCTCCCGACCAGAGGCAGAGTCCAGCACGGCGCCCGCAGGGCGTGCGAGGGTGCCAACCCCCCCACCACCACCCCCATACACCCAACATCCACTCCCTTCCCCACGGCTACAGACCAGCGCCCAGACCTCTCAAGGCGTCCCCACCACACACACCCCTGACGTCACTGCTGGGTTCAGACTCAGACACTCAGCACCCACCTTCCCGGGTTAACCAGATGCCTCCACACACCCGTCCCCGACGCCCCCAAGGCCTGTCTGAGCTGCTTCCGGTTTGAATCTGTTCCGCTTTTCCGTGAGCACCCCACACCGGCTCACTTCCCGGGAAGCGCAGAGGCAGCTCGCTCAGGTGCACAGAGGGAAGCTCCCACTGCTTCTCCTGCCGCTGCGCCGTGGCCCACGCAGGTGCCCTGCTCACCCCTCCCCCTCCTTCCCAAGGGATGGGTGAGGGGGATTTTCCGTGCTGTAGAGCTGCCTGTTGACGTCCCAAGGAGTTCGAGAGCTCACCCTCAAAACAGACCGGGTGAATCCTTCACCTTCCACCCAGTTAACGACAGCAGGGCCAGTGCTGGCAGCATGCGAGTTCTTTACCTGGAGACACCAAGGCTGGGACACAGGGAAGCTGCCGGGCTGACAGGACCTACATGCCCCAGACGCCTTCCTCCCCAGCACTGGCCAGCGGCCCGTCCCCAGAGCCCCCTAGGGGACAGTGGGTGGCCGAGGGCTCAGCAGGGTAGCTCCGGATAGTGGACAGACACTTTACGTTTTTCTGTTATTTAACGGAGCAGTGCAAAGCCCGCACCCAGAAAAGCCACAGTTAAGCCTCATTCACAGCTCACACTCGTTCTGCTGGAGGAAATAAGGGATTGAGAACTGCCTGCTGATAACGCTCCTAACTGCTATTTTTTAAATTTGTACTTATTTAAAGACAAAGAGACAGAGGGGCGAGAGAGCTCCCTTCTGTTGCTTCACTCCCCGGATGTCCACAACAACTGGAGCTGGGCTGGGCCAACGCCGGGAACCAGGCACTCAATGCAGGTCTCCCCCATGGTCACTGCTGCCTCCCATTGTCAGCACCAGCAGGAAGCTGGGGTCAGGGCCAGAGGCAGGCACCAAAGCTCCAGTGCGGGACGCGGCTATCCTAACTGCTCAGCCAAATGCCTGCCCCAACGACTGCTTGTTTCAGATTTCAGCATTTAAAAGGAACTCAAAGGCCATCTCAATGTTTTTAAAAATATTTTATTCAGGCCAGCGCCATGGCTCACTAGGCTAATCCTCCTCCTGCAGCGCTGGCACACCAGGTTCTAGTCCCAGTCGGAGCTCTGGATTCTGTCCTGGTTGCTCCTCTTCTAGTCCAGCTCTCTGCTGTGGCCCGGGAGTGCAGTGGAGGATGGCCCAAGTGCTTGGGCCCTGCACCCACACGGGAGATCAGGAGAAGCACCTGGCTCCTGGCTTTGGATCAGCACGGTGCGCTGGCTGCAGCTGCCATTGGGGGGTGAACCAACGGCAAAGGAAGACCTTTCTCTCTGTCTCTCTCTCACTGTCCACTCTGCCTGTCAAAATTTTTTTTAAAAAATATTTTATTCGTTTATTTGAGAGGTAGAGTTACAGACAGAGACAGAGAGAAAGGTCTTCCATCCACTGGTTCACTCCCCAAATGTCTGCAACAGCCAGAGCTGGGCCAATCCAAAGCCAGGAGTCAGGGGCCAGGAGCTTCTTCCAGGCCTCCCATGTGGGTGCAGGGGCCCAAGGACTTGGACCAGCTTCTACTGCTTTTCCAGGCCACATCAGAGAGGTGGATGGGAAGAGGAGAGCCGGGACTAGAACTGGCACCCGTATGGGATGCTGGCAGTGCAGGCACAGGCTTAGCCTACAGAGCAGCCCCTCAATTTTATTTTTGCTAGTAGGTCATCTTCTTCCCTTTCCAACCTTTAATCGGTTAGCCCACAGGAATCAAAACTCACAGCTTTGTATTTTGGGTTTTTTCCCCTTTCTTTCCCACCCAACACTAGTGTGCTCACTGTGGACTTGAAAGAGCCATGAACCAGTAATCTAAGGAGCCTGGGGGAAGCAGCAGCAGCCTGTTGGGAAATCCTGGGTAAAAGAACTCTGGGAAAATGGATGAGGATCACCCTGGCTAGTTGAGGTTGTCTTTGCCAATACAAAACGCCCAATGGGTGGTGGCTGGATTTACATGCTGTGTTCATAACTCACTCCCTTCCATGATTCAGATGCCGACTGAATGTGGCTCTTACCGGCATTAATTAATTACAGCACAATTCATTGCTTACTTGATGACCACGCAAATCTTGGGTAATTTGGAGAGACCTGGGGAAGCACTTGCACAGTTGGTGGCATGGCCAGGCACTCTGCTAAGTGCTTGGCAAGCTCTCCTTCATCTCAGCCTCGTGGAAGTCCAGGATGCAGGTTTATCAGCCCAGTGTGCACGGGGGCCCAGACAGCCAGGGAACGCGGGTCTTCCTCCAGCCCTGAGACCAGCCCGAGAGGGAGGGAGTCCGTGCCAACCCCAGGCTTGTGCCAGAGCTGGGTTCCGAGCTGCTGTGCTGGGGGGCTCTGTCTCTGCCATTTGGAGGGGAAGAAGAAATAAAGTCCAGCGTGCTGTGCTTGGAGACCCCCAAACTGGTGAAGAACCCACATAAAAATATTACGTAAGAAATTAAAACCTCTATCACAATTTAAACACACACACACACAAAATCAGTCTACTAGTAAAGATTAGAGCTGGGGACAAAGTAAAAAAGGAACACGACTATAGCAAATAGCAGAACCTGAACTACGGGCCTGGTTAGACTTTGGATACCCCTCGGCCGCCATGCACGAGTCCTGAGTCTCATTTGCGGGTCGTGTTCCAAGTTCCTGACTTATTTTCGTCACCGAGCGCTTTATGTGGCCAAGTTATATTCGTCCTTTTCACGGAGTTAAATTTTTTTCAAAGTGATGTTCCAGTTCCAAAGTATCTTGAGATCGTGGCAACGGCCCCCGGCCTAGAATTACCTTGACTCATGTTGAGGATTTCATTCCCCTAAAAGGAGTAGTAACCCAATGGAGCTGGGAATTGGCAGCGCATTTATCATGGAAAATAGCGCAGTCAGAGATGGCAACAAAAAATCTATAAATAAGCATAGGAAAACACAAGAAAAAGAAAGGGAGCGCTAATTATAGAAGCTGCGAGTTCCGTTCCTGCCGTGACTTGCGTCTGTTTGGTTTCAGCGGTGGTGGGCTTGGTGGCAGGAGGACTGGTGTTGATGCTGCCAGAAACCAAAGGGAGAGCCTTGCCTGAGACCATCGAGGAAGCTGAAAACCTGCAGAGGTAGGGAAGGAAGTGCAATACCCCCCCGCCCCACCAAATGTTGGCACAACTCTGCACCCAGTAGGAAAGGAGGGCTGGGTTGAATCCGTGCCTCACACCGCACACTGAGATGGAGCCGCTAGATCAAAGACTTGCAGAGAAACAGCACGACCACCAAGGCAGAGCGAGGGTTTATTCCCACCTTCCTAGTGGGGGAGGCCTGTCTAAACACGACCCCGAAACCCAGGACCTGTAAAAGAAAGATCAGTGTGTTTGCCTTCGCGCTAGAAAAAATTCTGCATTGGAAAACTGCCATCAGTTAAAAATAAAACGATAGACTTGGAGAGAAAATTGACTGCTCCACAAGGGACTGACTGACCCAGCGTATAAAGAGCCACATTGAATCCCTGAGAGCAGCCACTCCATAGAGAAAATAGACCAAGGCCCGAGGCAGACGGAGCTCAGTGAAAAGACGTTAAGACAGCTCCTAGAGAGGGAAACGTGCCCACCTCCTTTGTAACAAGAGACGCAGAAGGCAAGTCTGCACTAACGTCCCCTTGGTTGTCAAAGATCCAGTTACACTGTGGTGGCAAAGGACGTGGGGGAGGGGCTGTCTCCAGCACCAGGGCCTATGGGAGCACCGTTTGAAATCTTGATGGGCATGTGTCGAGAGCAGCAAAATGACAAACGTGCCTGTCCTCTGACCCAGCAGGAACATACATGAGCCAAACAACATGCACAGGGTTAGCCTTAGAAGCATTAATTTATACAACAGAAAATCGGAAACAACCCAACTGCCCATGCGTTGGAAGATCAGTTAAATAAATGATGGTAAATAAAATACTATACAGCCACTAAAAAGAATGAGGCAACTTAATAGTCACTGATTAAGAAAGTTCTCCAGGATATATCATTAATGGGGGGAAATCAAAACATAGAAATGCATATATTCTGTCATTTTTGTAAAACTAGTGAAAGGCCGGCGCCGCGGCTCACTAGGCTAATCCTCCGCCTAGCGGCGCCGGCACACCGGGTTCTAGTCCCGGTCGGGGCGCCAGATTCTGTCCCGGTTGTCCCTCTTCCAGGCCAGCCCTCTGCTGTGGCCAGGGAGTGCAGTGGAGGATGGCCCGGGTGCTTGGGCCCTGCACCCCATGGGAGACCAGGAAAAGCACCTGGCTCCTGGCTCCTGCCATCGGATCAGCGCGGTGCGCCGGCCGCAGCGCGCCGGCCGCGGCGGCCATTGGAGGGTGAACCAACGGCAAAGGAAGACCTTTCTCTCTGTCTCTCTCTCTCTCTCACTGTCCACTCTGCCTGTCAAAAAAAAAAAAAAAAAAAAAAACAACTAGTGAAAATATCTAATAATGGGAGCATAACGATATTAAATGTATGTCTGTCTACTTACTGTGCACCCCTGGAAGAACGTGCAAGAATTCACATTGGCTGGCTGTGGAACACAGCTGGGGGTACTTTCCACTGCACTCCCTTGGTAATGTCTGACTTGGAGTCCCAGGAACCTATGCAAAAAGCAACCTGGAGGTAAAAGATCTGAATCAGCAGAAGCCGTGTGTGGCCTCCCCACCAGCTTGCAGGACGCTTGGATATTTTCACTGGTTTTGTCCTTGGTCCATTTTCTTGGTGCTTTGGTGCCAGGAACTAAACTGAATTTTACCCAGTCCGCAAAGCCCTCACATGTGATCAATTCACACTTGGACTAAACGTGGCCGAATTGCTGGGGTCCGAGGCTTTTCCTAGAATGTGACGGTTAGAGGTGAACGTGACCTCTGGGTTCTGCCTGAGGTCACACCCTGGCAGCTCGCAGGGTGCCAAGTTCTCAGAAGCTGTGTTTGGCCCACACGGTGTCTTTTCAAAGTGGCAGATTCCACACAAACTGGAGTTCCAGGATCTGTTACAAGCGAGTGAGGGTTGGTAACACGGAGCAGGCTTTGCCTCTTGTTGACAACTCATAGGCACTCCGTTGTTTGAAGGTCTGCACGGTGGGTTGGCCACAGTCCCCACCATTCCCTATTGATGCTGCCAAGACTCAGTTTCTTCACTCTGTAAATGGGGACACAGTACCTGCTCTGTGGCCTTTTGTAACCAATGAGACCACACGTGTAAAGTGCGTGGTGACCACTCTTATTCCCGGGTGCTTTCCCAGCTGTCCATCAGGGATTACTTACTGGAAATGAAATTTTAAAATATATTTTGAGTTGCTCTAAGAGGGCAAAGTGCAGCTGTAACACACACACACACACACATATGCACACACGTGCATGCACACACATGTGCACACACTCACACACATGTGTACACACATGCACACAAATGCACCGCGTGCACGTTCACACACGTGTGCACACATGTGTACACAAATGCACATGCTTGCACACCCGTGTGTGCACATGTGTACGCACATGCGCACAAGTGCCCTGCATGTGCATTCACACACATGTACACACATGCACACACGCACACACACCTGTACTTGTTAGTGGGTTTCATGTTCATCAGGCCGGTTCCAACCAGACTAGAGTTTTCTTGTTACTGGAGCTGCTTTCCGCGTATGTGACCCACAACGCTGCTCTGAGGAGGTGCCGTCTTCTTCTCTCTTACGACACACTCCAAGTCACCGTGCCCAGACAGGAGACAGATCGGTGCATGGCTTGGGAGTGGCAGGAGGGTGTGAGAGGCTGAGGGCTGAGACAGGCCTGGGAGAAGGGTCCATCTGCCCAGGAGGGGTGGAGGCCCGAGCTGCAGGAGGCGGGCTGTCCAGAAGCAGGAGGGTAGACCAGTTGGCGCTGAAGCTGTGTGTCCCAGCCATGGGGGGACAGGGCAGGCAGGGCAGGAGCCCCTCCCTGAGTACCTGGTCACTTGGTTCCTAGGCCCACTCTGGTTGCAAACAAGGCTGCTGCCTGCCCAGTGTGCATTAGTCCTCCCTGTGAGCCGCTTGTGAGACGAGGAGAACAAGGGCTTACATTTGCTGCGAGCTCTCGACCTGTGCCTCACTCAGAGTGCAGGCAACAATCCTACGAAACAGTGTGATTGTCACCCTCGCTGACAACTGAAAACAAACCAGGGAGACAGACTAAAGGGACACAGCCAGGAAGGGCCATGGTTCCAACCCTGAGCCAGGTTCTACGGCCCAGGCACTCGCCTCACCCTCGCAGGGCGAGGCACTGGAGCACCCTGCACCAGGCCAGGCACCTAGGGCGCAGTCGGCGGCCATTGTTGGTGCTGCTAAGCTACAGGCGCTGCTGCTGCTGTCACCGCTGCTGTCATTGCTGTGGCTGCCGATGCTGTTGTGACTGCGATGTGGTGGTCGCTATTACTGTTGTTCCTGTTATCATTGCTGCTACTGTCACTGCTGTTCTCACTCCTGTAGCTGTTGCTGGTGTTGTGACGGCTGCTGTTGCCGCTGGTTGTGCTGTTGCTGCTGTCGCCACCGCTGCTGCTGCTACTGTTTATGTTGCTATGGTTACTGCCGCTGTTGCTGTTTCTGTTGCTATGGCTACTGCCGCTGCTGCTGTTTCTGTTGCTATGGTTACTGCCACTGCTGCTGTTTATGTTGCTATGGCTACTGCTGCGGCTGTGGCTGTGAGTGTCGTTGCTATGATCGCTGTTGTTACTGCTCTCGCCACTAGGACGGATGTTGTTGTTTTCGCTAGTGTTGTCGCTGTTACTATTTTTTTTTTGACAGGCAGAGTGGACAGTGAGAGAGAGAGACAGAGAGAAAGGCCTTCCTTCCGTTGGTTCACCCCCTAAATGGCCGCTATGGCCGGCGAGCTGCGCCGATGCAAAGCCAGAAGCCAGGTGCTTCTCCTGGTCTCCCATGTGGGTGCAGGGCCCAAGCACTTGGGCCATCCTCCACTGCACTCCCTGGCCACAGCAGAGAGCTGGGCTGGAAGAGGGGCAACCGGGACAGAACCGGCGCCCCAACCGGGACTAGAGCCCGGGGTGCCGGCGCCGCAGGCGGAGGATTAGCCTAGTGAGCCGCGGCGCCGGCCGTCGCTGTTACTATTAATGCTGCTTTTGTCACCATTCTTGCTTCTGCCACGGTTGCAGTCGCTGTGGTCGATGGTCTTTGTTGCTGCTGCTGCTGTTCACGTAGAGACCACGGTGGCTCAGCAGACTTGGCTGAACTCCAGGAAGAGTCTGAGACGGCTCCACACCAGTGTGTGACCTGGGGGAGTTTCTGCTACCTCCTTTCCTTCTCAGGTTAGACTGATCCGGTAATCGGGGAAGCACTAGCCATCTCCAGGGAAGGGAATTTTCTAAGGGGCTGGGTGCTAAGGAGCAGTCCACACCTGATTCTATAGCACTACAAATGGGAACGTGTCCAAAGGACACACCAAGAATGGCAAAATGAAGAAGGCAGCATTTCTATGATGCGTATCAGCAACACCCTGGCACTGAGAAACCACACAGTTCCAACAAGTGTTTTAATTACATGCTTCCACTTGTCAGGCTGTCTGAGAGTAAGTGAACTCTGCAAAATAATTTCTTAAATTCTATTTGCAGAACTGAAGATCACAGTTTCTAGGGTTTGCCGTCATCACCTCATTGATAGAAGATTAAATCCAGTCTTAAGTCACGTTCTTTACTACAGAGGAAGGCGAAACGCCCTGAGCAGAGGAACCCCCCCAGGGCAGCCCCACTTCTAGAGGGAGTTTGGTGCATACCCCACCCACCCTCGGGGTTCACCGAGCTCAGTCTGCTCTCCTTAGGAGACACCAGCATGAGCACCGGGCGAGACTCAGCCCTGACAGCGTCTACCCGTTTGCTGCCCCGCGTGTTCATCACCCAGCGTATTTCGCTTGCAGCCTTTTGTAATCTCTTTCTCCTCCTCTTCATCTTTATTTCTTATTGCAGACCAAGAAAAAACAGAGAAAAGGTGATTTATGTCCACGTTAGGAAAGCGGACGGTCCACTAACGTAAGGAGGCTGGTGCTCCTGCGGCGGCCTCGCTCTGTGATGCCAAGGCGAGACGCGGACACTTCCTGTCCCACCACGAAGCCCTTCCAGCCTGACCTCGCTTGCCCTCGAGCGGTGAACCTGGTCCACCACACGCAGAGTTTGCTGCACAACTGTGCAAACGCCGACTACGGGACCAGATCCTGCCACGTCCTTCCCTCTCCCCCTGTTCTCGGCACTGGAATTCCATGGTTTTCTGCAGTATTTCTCCATCCTTGTGTTGCTTAATTTGATATCTTCCCCCACAATGACAACAAACCAAAATACATATGGGAACTGGGGGCCAGGAAAACCCCATAGAAAAATTCTAAAAAGCAAGAGAGTTGGGAGAGAAGAGTCTATTTTCTTAAAGAGAAGTAAAACTCTCAAAGCCAAATCAAGTTCTCTAGAATATGTCAAAGCTTTATGTAGGTCTTCCGGTATCGTGGGTGAAGAGATTTTAAAATGTGCTGACTATTGCTGGTGTGAGATTTGAAGGGAAACTCAAGCGGAAGAACCAGTTACACACGCAAGCAATCACCAGTCCCTCCACAAGTGCAAGCGTGTGCTTCTACAAAGCAGGCCTGGAGTTCCAGGAGCAGTAGCAGCAGCATTAGTAAACGGTAGTGAACAATTTTTCATTCTGGCAAAATTTCCTTGAACTTGGAACATTGAGAGAGAGAGACTGCCATCTGCTGGTTCGCTCCCCGATGGCTATAACAGCCAGGATTGGGCCAGGTCAAAGCCAGGAGCTAGGAACTCATTCCAGGTCTCCCAGGAGGATAGAAGGGACCCGGTTTTACTCAAAATATCACGGCTGGCATCCAGGGTCTGTCCTAACTGCTAGGCTAAATAGCCCCTCCAAAATCTGTAGATTGAAACATTTATTATCATGCACCAAAGGACTAGAGTAAGTATATTTCTAAGAGCTGAATACTACAAGGCGTGTCTGAGTTCATTTCTGTTGCGCTAATGAAACATTTAAGACTTAGGCTGGAGAATCCAGGAGCCCAGCACTGGCAGGTGCACGGCTGTGGGGAGCAATCCGGACTAGACTAAGTTACTCGAATTAGCACTTATTCTATGCATCTGCTCTCCCACAATATGGCGCTGGGAGAGAAGTAAACAGCTTCCGCACAGCTGCCTCCAGTTCAACTAATAAACTGTAGGACTTGCTCCTGATTGGAGGAGAGCAGCGTACTCGGCGTGTGGGCAGCCGAGTTGGGATTGGCGGAGGAGGACTATAAAGGAGGAGAGAGACGGCATGCACCAGGAACATCTATGGGGAACATCTAAGGGAACCCGTGCAGCCCCCGAGAAAGCCGGCCGGCGGTGTGCCGCTCCCCTGCGGAAGTGGGGAATGCGGCCAGGGGGAACTGCCCTTCCACGGAGGTGGAAGGGATAGTAGCCAACCCGGGAAGAACCAGCAGCAAACCCGGGGAGGGCCGAGCAGACCAAAGAACAACGCAGGGTCTTGTGTCGTTCCCCCACGAAGACGGGGAGCGACATAATGGTGCCGTGACTCGGATAGGAAACCTGACTCGGATAGAAAACCTAGGACGGATAGGAAACTTAGGACGGATATGAAACTTAGGAGGGAAGAAACGGGAAGAACTAGGGAAAATATCGGAGAGAGAAACTAGCAAACAGCCTAGGGAAAAGCCGGACGAAAAAGGAGCCGGAAGAAGCTATTGAAAGCCTAGGCATAGACTCGAAACAGCCTACGGAAAAGCCGGACGAAAAAGGAGCCGGAAGAAGCTATTGAAAGCCTAGGCATAGACTCGGATACGGACTACGGGGGGAAGCTGGGAGAAATCTCTAAGGTCGAAAGCGAAAGTGAAAGCTAGAACAAACAGACTCGGACGCGGACTGTGGGGAGAGGCCAGGAGAAATGAGGGAGGAATATCGTTGGAGGAAAGTTTGGGGAAACATACCGGGTAGAGAAAAATGTTAGGGAAATTGAAGCCGCGGGGGGCAGGCCAAGGCGGACACGAAAGCCACTTTGGGATTCTCAAGTTAGCCCGGGAATAGGGGGCGAAAAGTTGAAACCAGAAGCTGAAACGTGAGCCTGGTTGGGATCCGTCTGATTAGCCCGGGGAGCAAAGGACGGGAAGCCAAACCGTGGGGCGGAGACGTACGCTGGGTTGAATTCGCCAGGCTAGCCCGGGGAACTTAGATTGAATGCTAGTGGCGGACACGTAAGCTACGCTGTGTTACTCGCGGAAGCCGCCGCGTGCAGAGAGAGCACGGGGCATGAATAGATAGGGAACGGGGCTGGCGTAGGCCGTGGTTCAGACGTGAAAGGGTTAAGCGTGGAGACCGCGGAGCGCGCGAAGCCAAGCCGCGCAAAGCCGGGAAGCTGCGCAGATGAGAGAGGCGCGCGGGCTGAAGCGGCGCAGAGCCGGGAACCCGCCGGCGGGGCGAGGTGCCGGAAAGCCGCAGGGATAAGAGAAACAGAAGTTTAGAAGTAAAGTGAGAAAAATAGGAATGCTGGAAGATAGAAGTAAAATGGGAGAAATAGGAATGCCCGGAGATAGAGAAATAGAGAAATAGAAAGGCCTCCCCTCAACATGGCAACGAGAAAGTTTGGATTCGGTCTGCCTGATTAAGTGAGGCGATGAGCACGATGAGCACCTGCGGCGGCTAGCAGCTTATGCGCCGCAGGTCACCGAAGACAGGCACGAATTAACATCAGTAAGGCTTCCCCACAATACCGCAATTAGAAGGCTTGGATTCGGTCTGCCTGATTAAGGCGGTAAGCGCCAGCAAGCAGCTCGACCAGAGTATGAGCTGCAGGTCACCGAAGATGGGCACGAACCAACACTAATAAGTCTCCCCCACAATAAGGCAATGAGAAGGCTTGGATTCGGTTTGCCTGATAGAGCTTGTAAGCCCCTGCAGGCAGAGCAAAGCATGCGCTGCAGGGCACCGAACACAGGCACGCATCAGCGCCTAAAAACCTCCTCACAACATGGCGAAGAGAGGACCCGGATTCGGTTTGCCTGATGGATAGGACTTGTAAGAGCCTGTGGCAACTCTAGCAAGTAGAGCAGAGTGTGTGCCGCGGGACACCGAAGACAGGCGCGTATCAACGCTAAAAAATAAAAAGAAAGGGGGATCTGTGGGGAGCAATCCGGACTAGACTAAGTTACTCGAATTAGGACTTATTCTATGCATCTGCTCTCCCACAATATGGCGCTGGGAGAGAAGTAAACAGCTTCCGCACAGCTGCCTCCAGTTCAACTAATAAACTGTAGGACTTGCTCCTGATTGGAGGAGAGCAGCGTACTCGGCGTGTGGGCAGCCGAGTTGGGATTGGCGGAGGAGGACTATAAAGGAGGAGAGAGACGGCATGCATCAGGAACATCTATGGGGAACATCTAAGGGAACCCGTGCAGCCCCCGAGAAAGCCGGCCGGCGGTGTGCCGCTCCCCTGCGGAAGTGGGGAATGCGGCCAGGGGGAACTGCCCTTCCACAGAGGTGGAAGGGATAGTAGCCAACCCGGGAAGAACCAGCAGCAAACCCGGGGAGGGCCGAGCAGACCAAAGAACAACGCAGGGTCCTGTGTTGCTCCTCCACGAAGAGGGGGAGCGACACACGGCCCCCAGCGAGAGCCTTCTTGCTGCATCACCATGTGGCGCAGGGCGTCAGGAGGGGCCGGGGCAGGCGAGCTAGCTCAGATCACTCGTCCTCTTCTCGTGAAGCCACTCCTGCCTTCCCAGGGTCCCACTCTCCTGGCCCCAGCTAATGCTAATTACTTCCCAAGGACCTCACCCCCAATCTGCCAGCAGCAATGAATTTGGGGGTTTAGTTTCCAGTGCATGACCGTTTGTGGGATGCCTTCAAACCATACGAGGATTCCAATGAAAAGCAAAGCTCCTGCCCCTCTGCGCTCCTCCAACCCCACAGAGGACGGGGCAGCTACATCAGCTGTGTCTCCCCAGAGAATTCCCTCTGTCCATCCAAATAGCTTCTCTGCGCTGACATTTCTTGAGTTTTCCATTCGAAATATTATCTGTGGGCTGGCATCATGGCTCACTAGGCTAATCCTCCGCCTGCGGTGCCAGCACCCTGGGTTCTAGTCCCGGTTGGGGCGCCGGATTCTGTCCTGGTTGCCCCTCTTCCAGGCCAGCTCTCTGCTGTGGCCCGGGAGTGCAGTGGAGGATGGCCCAAGTGCTTGGGCCCTGCACCCCATGGGAGACCAGGAGAAGCACCTGGCTCCTGGCTTCGGATCGGCACAGCGCCGTTTGTAGCGGCCATTTGGGGAGTGAACCAACGGAAAAGGAAGATCTTTCTCTCTGTCTCTCTCTCTCTCTCTCTCACTAACTCTGCCTGAAAAAAAAAAAAAGAAAAGAAATACTCTGTAACACAGAAGGTGAGAATTCGGCCCCCACTCGCACCTTCTCTCTTTCGCTCTGACTTGGTCCTAGTGTGTTCCTGTGATGTCAGGAGTCACATCACGGTGACTGCAGCTGCTACAGCCAAGCCCCATGGTGTTCATTACAAAGTTGCCTTCGTTCACTCCGCTTTGCTTTTCCTGAGCCCTGGGTGTCACTGCTTTGCTTTCCAGGAGTCCTTAATTTTCTTTCCTTACTCTCTAAGGGAGCAATGCATCTGCGCTCCGTGTACTCACACACATCACATGCTGGTTTCTTTCCTGGTTCCCTGAGAGACCTCTCCATTGCCTCTTTCCCAAGTTGGGTCCTCTGTCTCGCAGATCCCAGGTCATCCGCTTTCTCGGTTTTTGGTCTCATTCAAAGAAACATGTCTCTCAGTAATGTACAAATCCACTTTCTGTTGGTGCAACACGCAAGCTGAGCATTGTATAGGAATGTTGGAGGCAGAAATTCCAGGTACCACAGTGCCAGCTCTAGTTAGGGCCTGTGGCCGTGACACCTCATGGCAGGTGACATGATGGTGGGGGTACGTGAGGGAGGGAGCATTCACCTGGGGAAGCAGGAAGCCAGAGTGTCCGCAGGGAGGTGCCAGCCTTACTTTTTTATAACAACCTGCAAACCAGGACCCCTTGAAGGCTACACTGATTCCTCCCACGGGCAGTGCCCCAGTGACTAAGGACTTCCCACTGGGCCCACGTTGCAGAGCTCCATCACTCCACGCTGCCACACTGGGGACAAGGAAGTCGGGAGCGCACCGGAACCGCATCCACACCACAGCCGGGGGCTGCCTGAGAGACGGCACACGTCTGCCCTCTGCGCCCCGGCTGCGATGTCAGGAATTAAACCTGCAAACCACGTGTCCAGGCCTCCACCCGCCGGCTTCCTCGAAGACTCGCCCAGTGGGTGGTGTTAGCCAGAGACTAGAGGGAAGGGGCCAAAGAGAAGCTGCTTCTCGTGTGTTGGGAAGACTTGTGAGCAGCGGCAGCCACACCGGCTGGCA